GCTCAGTGCTGCACCAGTTTACCAGTGCAGCAATAGAAATCAAACTTAAGAAGATTCACAAAATGCGAGAGATTTGATTGATTTGAATATTTGAATGGCAATCGTTTTGCAATCGATTGGACATACTGAAACTGATTGGCCACATTGCAAAGATTGCAGTTATTTAACGAAGAAATGGTTGTGATCAATCGTAACATGTTCAAAAACGGAATGTTACCAAAAAAAAAGAAAAAAGTTCGAGTTAACTGTAACAAGGCTCGAACTGTTCGAGTTCGAGATAAAATTTGGATTTATTTATCTCGAACTCGAATCGAACAGTTCGGTTCGAGTTCGAGTCGAACAGTTCGTATTTCGAATAGTTCGCACACCCCTAGAGTATTCTCTGCCTCTGCCAAGTGAAGCATCTGGGCGGTTGACTCGAATTCCATACGAACACCTGTGACACCGGAGTGAACCAGGGTAAGAGAGTTCTTCTCTTACTCGCCAAGGGTCTTGGCCACCCGGTGCCGCCTCCCGCCTACACAAATCGATGCGCCAGGAAATAGAAAGTACTTCTCTACCTCCGCTAAGGGTCTTAGCCGCTCGATATCCCGTCCAATCGCGATCCAGCGCCTTATACGCTCACTGCCACCGTTATCCAAACCTGCGATACCGCGTCACCCGCGCCGAAATACCTCAGCGAGCCCGCACGCCCGCCGATCCGCGAAACTCCGCGATCGCCGTGTATCATCGCTTTATCAGGCGTCCGCACGCCCTGTGATATCTATATTGTAACCGCGTCCGCGACCTATTACACGTATCCAGCGACTCCGCGCTATCTGCATTACACCGCCATTGTAAACCGCGCCCGCGATCTATCACACGTAGCCATCAACTCCGCGATCACTGTAATCCGTCGCTATCGTAGCAGCGACCGCGATCTTTTGTACATATTCACCGCTCCCGCGAGCATCTCTATGTATTCACGCGTAATTGAATAAATACCTTATTTTGTTTTATTATATTTTAACCGAGTCTTGTGCCTTCCTCCGCGCCTACTCCGAACCCTGACCAGCCGCGAGCTAAATCCGCGCTTCGGAAGCTAAGTTGTTTTAACTTGGTTTTATACCGGTCGGCCGGATATAATTCTTAAACTAAAATTACGCGCGGTCTCTGCCGTCTTACCGAGTTTGTAATCTTTAATGATACGCAAAATTCCAAATGTAATTAGCCGCACGGGCTTTCAACGCAACTTAATATTATATTTCTAACGAGTTGTAAAGCTACACCGTAAATGTAATCTTAAGGAAACTAAAGCGCGAATGTCTTTTTAATGATAATCAAACAAAATAAACTATGTATAACCATTTTGGCAAGAAAGTTATCAACATAAAATTGAAACAAAATAAACGTGTATTCTATATATGTTTTCTATCGTCGATCGACGAGCCGTCTCTCCCTATTTCGGCTTCCAAGCCTCGTCGTCGTCGCTCTCGCTCTCTCCCGACGGTCACTCGAAATCGTCGGAAGGCTGATCCACCGGACCGATCGGGAAGTCGTATCCCACGAATTCCGCGATCGCGTCTATTAGCGGAGGAGGCGCGGGAGTTGTTATAGGGAGCTGTAATGCCGACATTAACGGCGTGGGCGACATGCATGGGAGTTCGGTCTCCCGTGGTGCAGATGCCGCTGCTGGTATGCCCTGAGGCGGCTGCGCTTCCGCTACCGCTCGTTCCGCCTGTGCCGCGCGTGGTTCCGCAACGGGTAGTCTCTGCAATAATACTCGGGGTGACCGTTTGGTCAAGCGACGCGGCTGTTGGGAAGTGCCCGGTCGCAAGGTTAGGTTAGACCGTCAGACAAAATAAGTTTCAATGAACTGACACAATTATTCTTAATCTATAGACTTTGAAAAAAAATAAAGTGTCACGTTTAAAAATTGGTTGATAATTTAATTTAGAACAATAATTTAAAAATAATTAAAGAAAAGCTAAATATGAAAAAAAATATATCTTACTTTCGAATAACTAAAACAAACTAAAAGTTGTTCAGAACCTGCTTATGGCATATTTTCCTAATTAGATTCGTAACCTAGCCGTGCCCGTACTTTTTAACTTTATCGCATATGAATATTTTAATCACCTTGTGAAAAACATTTTGGGTCATCTATACCAAATTCCTGGAAAGCCTTCACAAAGTTAGATCCATTATCCGTAACTGTAGCTATAATTTTATCAAATGTTAATCCAAATGTTGTATGGATTCCTTCTAACATCTCCGCAATATTGTCAAACGAATGAGTACCGGGAAATCGCCTGCATGCTAAAGCTGCCGATTTTCTGTCTAGAGTTTTTTCGTCAATCTGTTGATTAATATTATAAGTTTTTATAAACAATCGTATAGAAATCTAATAATTACTATTCAGTTATGTTGACAGTTAGTTTAATTATATCTTATGCAAATAACACATTTCTTACCCAGTGAGCAGTAACACCTAGAAATCTCCTATTTGAACCAGTCCAAATGTCGGCTGTTGTGCAAACGTAACGTGCACTGTTCATCGCTTTACGTATTTCACTGACTTGTTTATTATGTAAGTCATTCACCCTTTTACCCACTGTATAACGGGTCATATGTTTCAACGGTTGATTACCATGCTTGATTTTTAAATCTAAAACAAATTAACATATTGTACATTAATTTTTAATTAAGAGAATTATTTTACAATTTTATTTAAGAAAAGTAACTATAAAAAGTGTGCAAGTAAAAACTTGCACATTGCTTCCTCATAGTTATTAAGTGTGCAACTAGAAACTTGCACATTGCTTCTTTATAGTTTTTAAGTGTGAAAGTAGAAACCTTCGCTCACAAAGCTCCTCTATGAGTAAGCTTTTATTTTATTTAATGTATAATTATTAGTATTTATTTTTTTGGCTTCTTCATAGAGAGATTTACAACAATCTAAACATATTGGCGGAAAAAACTCAAAAACCAATCTCTTCGTTGGTTTCTTCTACCCCTATTTTATATATAAATCATTTAAATTTGGTTGATTAGACCCAACTTTATACGCAATCAAAGGTTCATATACGAAATTCACGAAAACAAAGCTTCCTCTATGAGGAAGCAAAAACAAATAAAAAACGTATAAATAAACTTTTAAGATAAATGAATGTGTCTCATAACAATAACAATGCTATATACAAAAATCTATATTAGTATAATTTGTGTGTTGTCAGGATAAATACTTCAAATTACAATTTTTTATTATTATTTATTATTGTATATATGAATTAAA